CATTGTGGGGCCATTTCGTTTGCACTTTGAACAGCATTACTATTTATTTTCTAATAGTGAATTTGTTCTTTGTTGTTGTTTATTCATGAGGTTGCTGACAGTAAATCTCAGGTTGATTCCTGGGGTCGATGAGGAAACATAAATCCAGTCAGTTGCTGAGCTATTTCAGTTGGAGAAGTTATGTTGGAGAAGAATATATTTTTGTTACAATTTTCAAACTGTAGGCGGAGTCACGTACGTCCTGCCCGTGGAAAGCTCTGTCTTCTGATTGGGCCTAAACAGAAAGTACATGGCGGCCATCTTAGCTCCTGTGTGGTAGAGAGTGTTGGATCTGGGTCACGTTTAGTTCAGAGTAAAGTTCCCTAACCCTCTGTCACATAGCAGCTCCTTTAAATCTCCTGCTCCCTTCATTTATCTTTTCTTAGATTTTCACCCTCTGGTACACATATCGATCCATTAGGGACAACCCCCCCCATCCAGTCATCCATTTCCGAGGCCTGGACCCGAGTCCCTGGTTCTAAAGGAGGGACTGCAGCACGAGGTACTGGCTAACTGACCGGACATGGTGGGTGGAGACTGACCCAAATATGTTGAAAATGTCTGAGACAAGCAGGAACAAATTAAATAAAAGAACAAAGACATGTACTGTTAAAGACGTCAAAGATGATTTTCTTAATTCACGAATCCAAAAGCAGCTGAATGAGGAAGATGACAGATTTGAATTAGGACTGTTGACACGACACCAGAAACACAACGTGTTTGTGTTTTCTGTCTAAAGGACGCTCTGTGTAGCAGTGGGACCAATCCTGATGGTTCCACTCTGCCATGGAAAGCAGGGACTGTTTCCATAGCAGTTCCCAAAGTCTTTTCCTCCATCTGCGTCACCATGGAAACCGTGAAGGAAGCATACACGTGGTATGTATGTATGTTTTCAGAAGAAAAATGTTCCCATTTAGGATCAGTTATATGTTTATTTCTATATGTGCAGTTTTTGGGCTAATCCCAAACCTCCCTTGGTAGAGGGTTAGGGATTAGCCTGCATCCAGCCCAGACATCCCAGGTTGAACTGTACTACTACTGTTCCGCCAGCAGATGTCAGCATTTGTGCAGACCGTCTGCTTTACAACAGAGATCTAAAGCTATTGTAACTCCATACATCCATTTCCTGTACTACTTATCCCCAGCGGGGTAATGGGGCTGGAGCCTATCAGCTGACAGGGGGGAGGCGGGTCCACCTGGACAGATAAATCCATCAGGGCCACAGAGACACACAGAGACACACAACCACACAGTCAGTTAACAGTCCAGTTAACCCAACATGCAGGTTTTTGAATGGTGGCAGGAGGCTGGAGAACTGGGAGAGAACCCCCACAGACACACTGCACACTAACCCTAACCCTAACCCACCCTCCTCCCACCTACAG